GCAACCCCCCACCCTCCCAGCCCCAGGCGGTTCCGGAGCATCCGCCGTAACCCCCTGGAGCCCAGAGATCCCAACATGTTCGTTCTTTCCCACAGCCCCCCGAAACCACTAACGGTGACACCCTCCTTTTCGGTGTTAGTTGGTTGTTGTTAGTTAATACCTGGCGGCCTAGTCCTAGCACCCGCACCGCCGCCCGCAGTAGCACCGTTCCCTCCGGCCAGTTGTAGCGGCCCGGCAGTAGCAGCACCAGATCTCCATGCGCCAGGGAGGGCCACATCAGCTCCGCGCTCTCATGACAGGCAACACGGTAGGACCCCGGGGGCGAGGAATGTGCGCCGCCGCCGCCGCCGCCGCCGCCGCCAGCGCCGAAGCTGCTGGCGACGGCAGCGGCGGCGGCGGCATGCGGGTCTCGAAGCAGGGGTGCTGCGTCCCACAATACGGCGGCGGCGGCTGACGCCGCCGCCGTTGCCGGGCCTGGCGACGGTGGCGGGTGTTGGTCGTACGAGGTGGTTGGTAGTTGCATAAGGGCGGTTAGCTCCGGCGGTATGCGTTGGATAAAGTGCGCAACGTTTGGCCCGCCAGAAGGTCGTGGCTGGGGGGGTTCGGGGGATTCTATCGGCCACTCTTCGATGCTACCCGGCGCCGCCAAGTCCTCTAGTAGGAGTACTGCCTCTTGGGCCTGATCCAGCCAGTGCCGTACATGGTCTACGGCAAGCGCAGCGTACTGTTTACTACCGGAGGCCCGGGCAGCAGCGGAGGTGCCGCCTGCTTGGCGGCCGGCACCAGAACGTGTTGCGGCAGCGGGGGTGGCGGCGGTGCTCGCTAGGCGGCCGGGCTGTACGCGTTCCAGCAGGGCTTTGAGAGCGGCAACCTCCGTGCGCGCCGCAGCGAGATCACTGTGGATGACGCCGCGTCGTAAAAGCTCGTGGAGCTGCTGCTGCGGCGTGGGCTGGCCATAGCTGCGGACGGCTGCGGCGATGCGGGTCGCGAGCGCCGCCTGCTGAAGCTGTAATCCAAGGATGTGTGCACGCTCGTTGATAAGCTGCGCATGTCTCAACAGTGCGGAATCATCTCCGTCCGAATGCTGCTGGCCCCGGTGCCGAAAACGTCTTGACATTCAACAAGGTGGCGACATTCGCCAATTTATACTATAGGGTGGACAAACTAAGAAGGATTGAAGTTGAAGTTGAAGTTCAATTATCATGGTGTTAGGCCATGCTTGCTTCACCCAACGGATTCCTCAGTCTCCTCGCGTAACATTTCCTCAACAATAGATCGGTAGAACCATGTATGGATGCTGTCAGCTTAAAAACGGTTAGGTTACCAAGATTGTAACGTGTAGTTGCCATGCGGTGGTGAATCGGAAATGGTGCGCGTTCGTTAGAAGGCAACGGCCGTACGACGACTCCTCAGTCTTTGACCTAGAACGGGAAGTCTAAGGAGGACTGCATAGCAAGCTGCAAGAAAGACACAGCAAATTTTGTAGTGGTGTCCGTCGCTCTTAAACAATTATCTCAAGTAAAGATTAATTATGCTTTGTGCGTGGATGCGAGCTGCAGATTTTCTGATGTTGGGCTTGCTGTTAGACATGCTGATGCTGTATGTTGGATCTGCATGCTGCGTGCGGTGCCAGTATCGTGAGCGACCAACTCCCCAAAACATACCAGTTTGGTGGACACACTCAAGCGCTGCCACAGCACGCTCAGTTAGCCATGTGCTTGCCCCGTGTGTGATCGGGGCTTTTGTAGATGTTCCCACCGCGCGCTTTTCCGTTTACTTGGAAGGCGTATGTGTGGGTTTGCACTTGCATAGATGTATGGATGTATTGAGAGTCGGTCTGCTAGCCGGCCGGCGTGCCGAAATCCATCTATGAGGATGCAGGGACGGTAATAGAACATGTGCCTTACGCCATGCTGCTGCACATTGGCATAAATATCGTACCCTCAAGGTGCATATTCCAGGGCAAGCAAGATCTACGGCAATTGAGGGGGTGTTTGAGTTGCCTGTGTTGTAGTAAAACCAGACACATGAGGGCGGTGACTGCTTCTACAGAGACATACAGCTACGGCGGTGGAAAGCGAACTCTCTGTGGACTAAGCGAAGGGACCGGAGAGACACCTTTGTCGTTGAACGCAAATATGGGTTCCTGCAGCTCGTCTAGGAGACGTGTTTAAAGCTGCGGCAATTCGGTGTATTAGTCTGACAACAGATTCCTGTTACGGTTAACCGTTAAAGACCGCGCATATGGTTGGTGGCCGCCGCAGGTTGCAAACATATTCGACGGTGTGGCGTTTTAAACCGTTAGCACATTTTTTTATCGTTCTTTAAACCTATGACACGCTGTCTTTCTGTTTCGTTGTTACGATTTTCACTTTGCCATAACGGTGTAGCAAGTGTGAACCTGTAGGCCATCAAAAACACGTACGCAGGTGTTTAGGAAATTAACTTAATCGAGTTCTACATAATACACATTTGAACGCCGATATTTTCTGGGGAAGGCGTGGCTGCGCCGTCATCCTTTTGCGGATACACCCTAAGTCGTAAACATGGGGGTAAACAAGGCAACGAAGAAGATGGCCCGTAAGGGTCAGCTTAAGAACGCTATCCATGCTCGGCGAAAACATAAGCGCATTTCGCACCGCCGCCAGCCGCACAAAGATAGCCGAGCTACCAAGTTTGTAAAAGCTGGAGGTAAGTTATCCTTTCGATTTGGCAAGAGTGAACCCCTGTTGCCCTTGAAATCAGCTCGGTTGAACCTTCCTGCCGGGTAATGTGTTGGAAATGGATTCTCCGTGACGACCGTGACACCCCAATCCCGGTGAACTTAGTGCTACGTGCTAAGCACGGCTTCGGTATTCACTTAATTACCCTTCGACACATGTAATCATTCCCCCGGGCAACAGACGAGTTCCGCAAGGAGGGGGCCGCCAAGAAGAAGAAGGGCGCGTTTGATGACACGGATGCGGAGGAGTTTCTGCAGGCGCGTCGGAGGGTGGTGTGAGAGGATGTGGGTTCGGGGCCCATGTATTTGGTGTATTGGGGCTGGTCTTGGGTGAATGAATGGAAAGGATGGTGGGCATGCGGGAACAACCGCAGGCTTATGGGGGATGGGGGAAGCGGGAGTGGGGAGGGGACGCTGTGGGGGGTACCTATCGGACGGGGAAGGTATCTCCCCCTGCATCTGCCGCAGCGGGACACAGCGGTAGTCTGTCCTATAGCAGAAGCAGCAGCAGTAGTAGTAGTAGTAGTAGTAGGAGGAGGAGGAGGAGGAGGAGCGCCAACAACAGCGCCAGCGGTTGCAAGACGCAAAGCAGCGGCAGTTGGCGGCAGTTGGCGGGAGGAGGAGGAGGAGGAGCCGCCCACTCATGATGTTGGGGCGGATGCTCCGCGGCATGTCGGGGCTTACTACTGCTGCTACTACTACTACTACTACTACAACCGCCCGCCATCACCCCCTTCCCCTTTTTTACACACGGGCCGTGCAGCCATCGCACGTCAGCATTACACACCGCACATTACCCCCCGTGGTGTTTTTGATTCTCTGAACTACACTCGTCCTTGCGCTCGTCCCAATTGTACAATACTGTCGTACTTCACCGTACAACAGGGCGGTTTTGAGGATGATTTTGACGAGGAGGACGTCGACGATGATGATGTTGACGTCCTGGAGGGCGATGACGACGACATTGACGGCAGTGATGATGACGAGATGTCGGAGGAGGGTGATGAAGAAGGCGTGGATGACGAGGGGGATGATGATGGCGATGATGGCTTATCTTCTGACTTGCTTGACGGCGTGGACGACAAGGACGGCGTCGATGATGATGATGATGATGAGGAGGAGGAGGAGGAGGAGGAGGGGACGGCAGGAGGGGACCCCGTGGTTCAGGACAACAAGCGGCTCAAGGGCGAGATTGCAAAACACAAGTACGTGTTGTCGTACATACACAGCACCTCCTCCTGTCGGCTAAGTCCATTTTTTTCACACGGGGTCACCCAAGCGAGCCAAGGTCCACAAGCCCAGTGCGCCTTTCCAGCACTACTGAAATCCTCCACGTTCAGTTTTATTGAACTGGTTCCCTAAACAACGCACTTGGAGCGTGAGATCTGTTTGTCTGTCTGTCTAGCATGTGTTTTGCCCCGGTGTCCCCCCCCCCCATGAGGCTGTCCCCTCCCCGAACCAGTCACCCCCTTCCACTTTCCCTCGTCTTCCCAACATGGGAACACATACATACATACGTATACCGGCACACGCACACGCGCCTAAAACTCTCGTTTGATTCTCTTGCAACGTCCGACACGTCGTTGAAACGTCCGTACACACCCACATAGGGCCCAATTGGAGGCGCTACGGGAGAAGGATCCGGAATTCTATGCTTACTTGAAGGTATGGTACGGGAGGGGAGGGGGTTGGCGCGAAGAGAGAGAATGTGTGTACGTGTTCGTGTATGTGGCCCCCCCCGGTGGGGGAAAGGGTGGGAGGAAGTGGTGTGTATTGGTTACAGCGGGTTGTCGCGGAACATCCCCAGATGGACGGAGGGGGGACGGGTATGAGGGATGAGTGAGGGGGAAATACCTGGGGGGGCGCGGGCTGTGTTTTGTTTTGTTGGTGGCTGCTGCTTTGAGATCTCCATATGCGTGTCCCCCTGCCTCCCTACCCAACCCCGGCCCCCCCCCCCCCACACACCCCACACACACGAAGATGCAAATGTCGCCTCTTACCACCGTCATGGCCACCACCGTCATCACCATCGCAAGTATCATAAACACCGACATTTAAAAAACTGGATATTATGTGATTGCAGGAAGCGGACGCGGATTTGCTTGGTTTCCGAGCGGGGGAGGACGATGAGGATGATGATGAAGAAGAGGACGATGATGACGAAGAGGACGAGGACGGGGCGAGAGGCGGTGAAAAGGCGCAAAAGGCCGTAAAAAAGAAGGGAGCTGATGCGGCGGCGGTGGCGGCAGAGGAAGACGGTGGCCCTGATGGTTCCGAGGAGGGGGAGGAGGAGCCGGGTTCGTCTGGTGAGTTTTTGACTTAGGGTTTGGGAGGGGAGGGGAGGGGAGAGGAGAGGAAGGGACATGCACTCCGGGACAGATGGGGGCCGGGGGTTCCGCTAGAGAAAAGGAGATTCTTCCTCCTCCTCTTTCCCTCCCTCAATACACACTCATACACACATACAAATCGTCTCTCCCCCCCGCTCTTTCCCCCCTTTTCCTGCCCTCTCCATCCGGGTTTCCCCCCCCCCGCGGTCCTTCCTCAGGCCGTGTGGATGTGACAAGTGCCCTCCTGGCTCGCTGGTGTACGGCAGCGAGGGGGGGACCTGACGGCCGGGGTCCCCCCGCCCTGGGCTCTTTCGGCTTCCTGGTTCGTGCCTACCGCCTGGCGTGTCACTACGGGGACCCGCAAGGTGCGTGTGCGTGTGTATGGTGGTTTCGGTGCGTGCGGCTGTGCAATGTGGGGTGTGGTGGGAAGGTGGAGCGTGTGTGTTTTGGTTCCATGGGAGGGTAGTGGAGCGGGGAGGGGGGGTTGTTTCAAAGGGCTGGAAGGGGGATTGGAGAGGGGTGATGCCGTACAGGACGTACAAAGGGGCGGAGGTGTTGGGGGTGTGGATAGTGTTGATCGAGTGGTTTTGGTGGTAGGGGGGATGAAATGCATGCTGACTACAGACATACAGACTAACAGGGACATTAGGTTCAAGGCAAACCCTTCTTTCCCCACGGTCCATTCGCTAGTGGTTCGTCGTAGCCCCCTTTGCCTCCCCCGCCCACGTAACCCCTCTCCCCCCCCGATCCCTAACCTCCCCCAAACACCATCACACCCCTAGAGGACGCGGACAGTGGGAGGCTCCGCATCACCTCCTCCACCGTCTACAACACCATCATGATGTTCATGTTGCGAGAGGCGGATGCCATCATCAGGCGGCTGCTGGGACTGCCGCCACCATCAGCAACAGCAGCAGCAGCAGGCGCAGGAGGCGGCGCAGCAGCTAACCAACAGCAGCAGCAGCAGAGCAAGAAGGGCAAAAAAGAGGAGACGGATCTCGCGAAGAACCCCCGGTGAGTTTAAGTTTTTCGTTTCGGTGTTTTTGTGCTATATGTATTGTATATAGCAATTGCTTGTCAGTGAGTTTTCTGAGGTGAGGGTTGTTACTGGTGGCGATGGTGGTAGTAATCTTCTTCCGCTTGTCGCTTGCTTTTTGTCTTCCCCCTCCCCCAACACGGGGAGCAGCTGATCCCTTTCCACCCCGCCCCCTCCCGCTCCCCTCGGGGGAAGCATTCCGCCTCCCCACCCCTCCCCACCCCTCCCTCACCCCT